AGGAGGAGGAGGAAGAGGAGAAGGAAGAGGAGGGGGGGAGAAGGAGGAGGACGAGCTCCCCCCCTCACCAGGGCCGTTGATGGACCCAGTTACCTCCCCCCTGGGGGTTTGCCGGATCGTTTCTTCCCCACATCGTATATGAGGTTGTTGTTTTCTCTACACATCTCCGCGCAGGAACCTCCCACCCTTCCCCCCCTCTCTTCCACATCATCACCATCAGCATCACAATCGTTATCATCATCATCATCATCATCATCATCATCATCATCATCATCATCATCATCATCATCATCATCATCAGCAGCAGCAGCAGCAGCAGCATCATCATCAGTACCACCGTCATCATCATCAGCACAAACACACACTCATTCCAATTCGCCAACGCAGTCTCCCAAACACACACACACACACACACAGACTCTGTTGCACCTCTTCATCATTACTCACCATCATCATCAATCAGTCACCACTCACCATCAGTCACCATCACCGTCACTACCATGACACATTCATCACTATCACCATCCCATCGTGATCATCGACCAAGAGGGAGCCTCGTCTGTAAGTGAAGTGTGAAGAAAACTCTGGCAGGAACCCCCCCCCATGGGGTCCGCACTTCATGTTGGTAATCCGAGCGGGCCATCGGAATTGTTAACACTCGTCGATGTTCGGCTCCTCTGGATTGAAAATGGAAGAAGTCTCAGGCGGGAGCTTCGACTATGACTGAATTGCGAGGAAATCTCAAGAAGAAGCCCCCCTATGGAGTCCACACTCCACGTTGGCAATCCGAACGGGTCATCGGAACCCAATAACTGTCGTCACTTTTCGCATCCTATGGAGCGAAGATGGAGGAAGTCTCACGCGGGAGCTTCGTCTGTGAATGAAATACGAGGAAGCCTCAGGCGGGAGCCCCCTTCTGTATGGGGCCCGCACTTCACGCTGGTAATCCGAACGGGCCATGGGAACACTGTAACCGTCGTCGTTTGTCGGCACCTCTGGACTGAAAATGGGGGAAGTCTCAGGCGGGAGTTTCGTTTGTAGGTGAATAGCGGGGAAGTCTCAGGCGGGAGCCCCCTCCCTATGGGGTCCGCACTTCACGGTGGCAACCCGAACGGACCATCGGAACCGTGTAACTGTCGTACCTTGTCGGCTCCTCAGGATCGAGTATGGAGGAAGTCGCAAGCGGGAGTTTCGTCGGCGAGCGGCTTCCGAGGAAGCCTCAGGCGGGAGCCCAATGTGTCTGGGGACCGCACTTCATGTTGGTAATCCGAGCAGGTCATGGGACTCCTGAAGCTGTCGTCACGTTTCGGTTCCCCTGGATCAAGTACAGAGAAGGTCTCAGGCGGGAGCTTCGTCTGCGAATGGATTGAGAGGAAGTCTCAAGCGGAAGCCCCACCTCCCGTATGGGGTGCGCACTGCACATTGGTAACCCGCGCGGGCCATCGGAAACCTGTAGCGTTCATCTCTTTTCGGCCTCTGTGGACTGAATATGGAGGAAGTCTCAGGCGGCAGGCGAAAGTTTCGTCTGTGAGTGAATTCCGAAAACGTTTCAAGCGATAGTTCCCCCCTTATGGGGTCCGCATTTCCTGTTGGTAATCCGAGCGGGTCATCAAAAACTTGTAACTGTTTTGATTTTCGGTTCATATGGAATGAATATGGAAGAAGTTTCAGGCGGGAGACTTCGTTGGTGAGTGAAGTGCGAGGAAGTTCCAAGCTGGAGCCACCTCCCTACGGGGTCCACTTCACGTTGGCAATCCGAGCGGGTCATCGGAAACCTCTAAATTTCATCACACTTCAGCTACTCTGGACTGAATATTGTGGAAATCTCATACGGGAGCTTCGTCCGTGAATGAATTGCGAGGAAATCTCAAGCGAGAGCCCCCTCCGAATTATGGGGTCCGCACTTCACGTTGGCAATCCGTGCGGGTCATCGGAAACGTGCTACTATCATCACTTTTCGGCACCTCTGGACTGAATACGGAAGAAGTCTCACCCGGGGGATTCATCCGTGGGTGGATAGCGAGGAAGTCTCAGGCGGGAGCCCCATTCCCGATGGGGTCCGCACTTCACATTGGTAATCCGACCGGGTCATCGGCAAACTCTACCAGGCAAAGCACTTGAGCACCCCAAAAGGCACAAGGGGCACATCGCGAGGCGTTCCTCACGCGTCTGTGAATGAGTCGCAAAGAAGTCTCAGGCGGGAACCCCCTCCCTAGTCACAAATCGCTCGAAGAGTTCGACCAGAGAGCGATGGACTCCAGGGCAGAGGCGGAGCAGCTCGCGGCAGAGCTGAACTTCGTGCTGCCTCCCGCCTGAGCGCGGCCGCGACTAACTCGGTGCCTGCGGGGTTGTACCAATGGCTTGCTCTCGCGCCCCACCGGCTCGCGGGGTTGTCCCAACGGCCCTTGGCCCGACGGCTTCGCGATGTTTCCATCGGAGAACGCGCCCCTGCCGGGCGCGGTGGGGCGCGGCGGCGAGGGCGCCAAGGAGAGGCGCATGAGGAGAACAGGGGGATGGAGATGAGGGGGGGCGAGAACGAAGAGGAGGTGGAGAAGGAGGAGGAGGAAAAGGATGAAGAGGAGTAGGAGAAATTGCACAAGGAGGGCGAGCATGAGGAGGAGATGGATGACGAGGAAGACAAGGAGGAGGAGGAGGAGGAGGAGGAGGAGGAGAAGCAACAGAGGGCGAGACGGGGGGGGTCGGCCAGGCCGAAGAGGGAAGAGCGAAAGGCAATCAAAATATGTTATCATGTCTGAATAGTTCCCGGAAAGGGCGCGGGCCCAGGGTTCTCTTTCAGCTGTTACCCCCGGAATCGACGTGAAAAGGGCCAGTGAAATTATGTTTGAAGATTTCCCGAGCGAAGCGCTTGGTTTTTCTTCAGATGGTTGAAGATGTCTCCAGCGAAACGTTTTTTGTGTTATATGTATATATATATATATGTATATGTATATATATATATATGTATATATATACACATATATATATTGTTCCTCTCCTGGGGACAAGAATTCAGAGGATGTCTCGGGTGAGATACTTTTTCCGCTTGCCCAGATCCTGAGGACGTCTCGAGCGAGACGCTTGGATTCACACGTCCAGGTTGTCCAGGCGGGTGTCTAGCATGAGGATTTGTTGAGGATGTCTCGAGCGAGACGCTTGTGTTCACTCGTTCAGGTCGCCCAGGTGGATGTAACATGAGGATGTGTTGAGGAAGTCTCGATCGAGATGCTTGTTTGCACGTGTCCAGGTTGCCCAGGCGGATGTCTAGAATGACGATGTCCCGTGGCGAGTCCCCCTGGCACGTCGCGCGGCGCGTCCCGTGGCACGTCCATTGGCACGTTCCGTAGCGCGTCCCCTTGGCACGTCCCGCGGTGCGTCCCCATGGCACGTCCCCTGGCAAGTCGCTTGGCGCGTCCCTTGGGACGTTCCGCGGTGCGTTCTCCTGGCATGTCCCTCTGTCAAGTAGCTCTGGGGCAGCTACTATGTGCTCAGGCAGCTCGAGCTTAAGATCCAGATCAGTTCGGTCAGGACTCGGATGCAAAGGAGGACTCGATCCACAACGCTATAGAGCACAATCTCGGCATGGCACATCGCAATTCAGCACGGCGCAGCACAACACAGCCCTCGGCACGTACATCAAAATCGATACATTTAGTATTGCAACCTGGCACGTTCCTTGGCACGTTCCGTGGCGCGTCCCGTGGCGAGTCCCCCTGGCACGTCGCGCGGCGCGTCCCCTGGCACGTCCCGTGGCACGTCCATTGGCACGTCCCGCGGTGCGTCCCCATGGCACGTCCCCTGGCACGTCGCTTGGCGCGTCCCTTGGGACGTTCCGCGGTGCGTTCTCCTGGCATGTCCCTCTGTCAAGTAGCTCTGGGGCAGCTACTATGTGCTCAGGCAGCTCGAGCTTAAGATCCAGATCAGTTCGGTCTGGACTCGGATGCAAAGGATGACTCGATCCACAACGCTATAGAGCACAATCTCGGCATGGCACATCGCAATTCAGCACGGCGCAGCACAACACAGCCCTCGGCACAATACATCAAGATCGCTACGCCTAGCATTGGATTTGCCTGCCTGTCGCCCAACCAGGTGTCTCTGAAAACGCTGCCATGCCTTACATATCTGTATTCCTTTCCGGGTTCGTGGGTCGATCATGCTTTACCTCTACCGCCACTGGTTTGACCCCTACCCCAGGGCGGCCGCCCACAGGGGGGGATTTTTTTTCCAACGGCAAAACTCAGCTCCAGCGGTGATCATCCCCTGGATCACTGCGAATCGCGACGGCAAAGCAGCCCCGCAGCGTGAGACAGCTGATTGCAACACTGACGTGGCGGACGCCCTGCAAGGCCTGCACCGCAACGGGCCGCGTTAGCACCCCAGGTGGCGAAGCAGCAGCAGCGAGAGAGCAGAGGAGGGAGGCCGCCCACAGGGGGGGAGCGTGACAGCATCCGACGGATACACATGCCATCCGCTCGAAATCGGAGGACGGGCGTGCGGCGCAGTACACTCAACCCAAGGTTCGAAGCGAAGGTCCAAACTCAACAGGAGGGTGGGGGAGGAGAGGAGGAGGAGGAGGAGGAGGAGGAGGAAAAGGTCAGGTCAGGTCAGGAGGAGGAGGAGGAGGTCAGGTCAGGTCAGGTCAGGAAGTCCCCGAAAGCTGCTCAAGAAGGCTGCCGGGGGGTGTGAAGCACTTAAGCCCCAGAGGAGGAGGAGGAGGAGGAGGAGGAGGAGGAGGAGGAGGAGGAGCAGGAGGGGGGAGAGGAGGGGAACTGGGAGGGAGAGCACCAGGAGGGGGGAGATGGAGAGGAGCGGGAGGAGCAGGAGAAGCAGGTCTCCTTCAGCTGCTTCGCAAACCAGTCGGATCCCAGACAGCCTGGCTCCTCGGAGGGGGGGGGGGGGGCAGACGCAGCAGGGACTTCGGGGGGAGGCGAGGGGAGGCGGGGAGGGAGAGCGAGAGGGAGTGCGGGAGGGGAAAGGAAGTGAAGGAGGGAGCGGAGGATGGGGGGGGAGGAGAGGAGGGGAGGGGACGGGAAAGCTGACAGGGAAGGACGGGGGGGGGGCAGGGGGGAGAGGGGAGCGGGTCAAGGTGTGGTGGGAGGCTGTTGAGGGCTCGTACGAAGCCTGCCAGCAAGCCGCCGAGAGGCCAAAAGCGCCACACCACATCAAGTGTGATTGAAGGTGTGTGGATTGCCACCCGCGGTGGTCCAAGATGGCGATGGGTAGCGTTGATGACGATATCATTGACAACCTGTTTGTGTTGCTTGTAGTGCGGCCGTTCTGCGTTATCCAGGTCGCATTAGCGCTAATGTGCTAGCGATACTGTTAGTGGCATGGCTGGTATGAGCAGTGATTGTACGGTAATCACTGTGAGACTAAAACGGTGTATGACGATTATCATGGTCGCTGTCGTATTGGTCAGTGTCCGTGTTGGCTGTCGTGTTCGTGTTAGTGGCGGCGTTAGTGTCAGCGCTTGCGCTAGAACTCGTGTTTTCGCTAGGCATTGTTGAACAAGTGGCAACTTCATTGTCAGACCAATGTTGGTGGCTGGCACTGGTGATGCAAGTGTTGGTATACGTACCAGCGCCTGTCAGAGAGTGTGGTAATGTTAGCGCTTGGCGTGGCGGTCGCACTCGTAGTGACGACAGCGGCAGTGTCGACGCTAGCGTTAGTAATCGCGTCTGTGTTACTGCTTATGGCACTGTGGGGGGTCCAAGCAGTACTTGCACTGTGGGGCTTCTCCTGAGGTTAGGTCGGGCATGTCATCCTACAGGCGGATGTTGGATGAAACATAAAATATTGCCAATCGATACCCAAAGATTGTTGGAATACTTTTGAATATTCCTTCTGTAGAGGGACAGGCCCGACTTAGTGCGTGCACTACAAGGCTTCTCCTAAGGTAAACTTGAGCTGCTGGGTGTTCCAGATGTTCGGCTGGTTGTCGCCCGTGGACGCCTTGCGGCCGCCGAGCCCGCAGGATGTACTGCACCACCGACAGATTGCCGCACACAGATTGCAAACTACTTTAATCGCATGATGCAGGTTGCACCAAATAGGTGGCGCCACATACGCTGCACCAAACATGATGCACAAGCTAGCCACGCAGGTTGCACCATGTGGACCGCAGATCTCAGACTGCACCCCGTATATCTGTAGCATCTAGATATCGCTTCCCACCTACTGCAACGCAAAGCGTGTTCCGCATATACGCCACCGTGCCTCTGGCACGAAACGGAGTACCCCAAGGCTCATGCGGCACTGGGAGCGGGAGGTAGCAGACGCTGTGCTGCTTCTGCGGCGAGACCCGTGCACCTTCAAAGGCCCAGGCCAGCCGTGCTCCAGGCATTCCCAAAGGGGCTCCCGGGCTGGCTCCCGCGAGTTCTGGCGTGCTTCCTGCGCCCCCCGTGGACGGCGTGCCTCTCCAGAGCGACCTCCCGAAGCCTCCCATGAGTCTAAGAGGGCCCCGAGTCGCCGAACGATCGCTCCAAGACGCCCATGATGACCTCAAGATGGCCCAAGGGGCCTCCAAGACGTCACGAGAGGCCTCCAAGAGGCCTCCCAAGAGGACCCCGAGAGGCACGAAGCATTGACTTCCCGTGGGTTGTTAAAGAATTTGTGCGTTCTCGCCTTTTCGGCTTTCCAAACGCTCGAAGACGGCCCAAGAGGCCTCAAAGACGGCCCAACAGACCTCCAAGAGGGCCCCAGCACAGCCTGAGAGCGCCCCAAGACGGCACAAGAGGCGGCCAAAACGGCCCGACAGGGCCCCAAGACGACCCCAAAAGGGACCCAAGAGAGGGAGCACGAACCGAAAATCCAAGCCTGCTGGCCCAAGAGGCCCCTAGGAGGCCCCAAGAGGCGCTCAAGAGGCCCCCAAGAGGCCCCCAAGAGGCCCCCAAGAGACCCTCAAGAGGCCAAAGAGGCCACCAAGAGGTTCAAAAGAGGCCCGAAGAGGCCCCGAGACGGCCCAGAAGAGGCCTCACAACTGCCTCCAAGAGGCCCCCGTGGGGCGCCCCACGAGATCCCAACGAACATCCGATAGGCTTTATACCCACAACCCAGGCACGGTGGCGGAATGGGCCGAAGGCCAAAAGATATTGGCCCACGTAAACTGAACCACATCAGTTGCATTTCATAAGTTGAGCCACATAGGTTGCATTGAGAAGAGTACCACATAGGTTGTATTTCATACATTGAACCACATCGGTTGCAACGCATTGCAGCGCATGTGGGCGGTCGGAAAGATGGCACTGCATAGAGTGCACCAGACTCATGCTGTACAACAAAAACTGTGATCGAGATAGTAAGAATCCACTGATTAAGATCAAGGCTGGTCGACGCTATGTGTTATTAGCATTCGTGCCGATGCACGTGCTGGTATTGGTGATTGTATGGCATCTAGCAATTGTACACGTGTGTATATATTTACATATCATCTACACACACGCGATAATAAATGTCTGTATACATAAACAAATAGATGTACGTCTGCATATGCTGCTGGCATTGGTCAAAGTGCTCGTGCGAGTGCGAGCTGCAATTATTGCACCCTGTTTGAAAACTTGACCTGCTAACAGTATTCGAGTCAGTAATCATGTTATCACTTGTACCAGCGCTACTGGTAGTGCGTTAAAACCCATATTGATGTGGTAGCGTCACTATACCATTGTTCGCGTGCCAACGTATTCGCGTGTCAGTGCGTTGCCGTGTTCACTGTGTTTTAGCGCGTGCAAGTGCTCTGCCAGTGTTCAGGCAAGTACTTGTGCGCGCGCTGGTATCACTGCCTGTGTCTATTGCGTTGGTAGTGGTAGTACTTGTGGCACTTCTACTTCGGCGATGGTAGGTTTAGGTTCAAAACTTTCGAGTTCAGTGCCAGCACCAATGATAACATTAGCGCTCGTGCTACGAGCTCCATTAGCGACAATGTCAACGCCAATGTAAATGACGATTGCAATGCCAATACACATACACGTGCAGTCGTGAAAGTGCTTGCGAAAATTAGGAATCCAGATGTATAACGTGATGTAACGCGCTCGGGTGTGAGAGGTGCAAAGTGATGCAGCGCAGCGCAGCACAATCAAGCTTGATGCGGCCACGAGTCGTGTACATCCATCTTGTTATATATCTCTCTCTCTCTCTTTGTGTTTCTCTCTCTCTCTCTCTTTCTCTCTGTCACGATCTTTCTCCCTCCCCCTCTCTCCCTGTCTCTCAATCTCTCTCTCTCTTTCTCTCTCTCTCTCTCTCTCTCTCTCATTATCGTTCTCTCTCTCTCTCTCTCTTCTCCCCCTCCCATCTCTCTGTTCCCCCCTCCCTCTCAATCTCTCGATCTCTATGTAGCTCTCTCTCTCTCTCTCGCTCTTGCTATCTCTGTTTCTGTCTCTCCCTTGATGCGCTCGACCCTCCACCTGGGTTTGCGACCTGATGAATCGTGCGCGACACCCCTTCGGACATCTGCAAACCACAACCCATGCTCCTCAGCGGCAAAACCCACGAAGTAGATGGTCTTCTGCGGCTTGATCCCGCTTGCTGCATAAGCCTCCGCTCGAGAAGTGCTGCGAGGCAGGAGACAATGAACGATGATCAAGGCGAGGGCCAATAACTAAAGCCACACAAAGAGCTGGCTCGGGACGGCCGTCCTCTCCCATGTGTCTCGCACCGATCATTTGCGCGGCAACTGCAGTTGACGTGCGGGCAGCTGATCGAGCAGCCTGGAGCTGCAGCAGGGGGAGCGGAGGGTGTGGAGTTAGGTCGGGCATGTCCTCCTACAGGCGAATGTTGAAAGAACAATCAACTAATGCTCAAGAATATCCGCAAAAATCCAAAAATCGTCCCCAGACAATTTGTTGGCTGGGTTTGAACACTCCTCCTGTGGAGGGACATGCCCGACTTACGTGTAGAGGCAGGAGGGCAGCAGTTGAAGCATTGCCCATCGATCGGAAGAAGTAGGTAGAACCATGAAGCAGGAAGGCGTTGAAAGTAGATTGGGTTCCGTCCGCCCCCTAAGGAGGACGGAAAAAGTGAAGCCACTCGATCATTGAAGTAGGAAGTCGCCTAAAGTAGATTGGAATATGGGCATCCTAAAGTACCTACTTTCAACGACCGAGGGGCAAGTGCAGAGGCAGGAGGGCAGCAGCTGAAGCACTGCCGGCAGCGCCGGGCAAAAAGGCCCAGCGCAGAGCGCAGCCTCCCGTGGAGAGGCCACGGGCCTGGCAGCAGAGGCCTGCAGGCGCGGGCCCAGGAGCCCAGGCCAGGTAGCCCGAGCTCGTGCGGTCCCCTCCCGGGATGCGCCCCCCCGCACGTCGAACGCGGCGTGCAATGTTGACTCCGAGTTTCTTAATAATTGTCGGGGGGGCGTCACCCCCGCCGACAGCCCCACATCGACCCCCGTCGCGGGCAGGCACCGAGCGCCGAAGGTGCTCCGACGAGGCGAGGTTGACCCCCGTCGGGGGGGTACCCGCCCACACCTAAGTATTAGGAAACCCAGAGTACCGTCGCGCGGTCGCCCTCCACCCACCCCCCCTGCGCGCGGCGAGGGGGCGAGGGCGGGGAGGTGGGCATCGGACTCAACCCCATGTTCTTCTTCCCAGCCATCTCCTGTGGTGTCGGGTCCTCGTTCTGAGAAGACAGTCCCTGCGTCTCCTTCTCCTGCTCGCCACTCCTCGTCCCCCCCTCCTCCCATCCCTGCCTCTGCCATCCGCCTGTCCATTTCGGCAAACTCCTCACTCGCTTCGTGGCCCCATAAAAGACAGTCAGTTACAGTTTTCCACTACAGACCCTCGTACACATACAGCCCAAGATTGTGCCAACCATGCATGTGATGACATATGAGACTTTGCTAGCGCTTCATCCGAATTCGGGCGCGTGCTTCGCGCTCACATGTGATTAATGAATCCCGTGGTGCGCTCGCTGTGCACCATGGCCCAGCCGCACCACACCAACATATCCTCAAGTTTCCACCCCACCTGCTCTCTCTCTCTCTCTCTCTCCCACCGCGCATCATCCTATCCTCAGTGACTGTACAGCAACATTGAATGGGACAGGCGACGGAGTAAGGAAGGATTAGAAAGAGACAAGTGGGTACATCCCCGAACTGCCGAAGGGCTGCGATAACCAGTATGGTGCCAATGAGTTCACGCGGCCTTTGGAGGTGCCAAGATGCATTTCCACACTGGAGCTGTAGTGCCTGGGCGACGGCGCTCTGGCTTTTGGTTCGTTGGCCTAGCCCGTGCGGCCTGGTACGTACACCAAGCCACCGTGCCATACGGGATGGTGGCTCCTGGAAACCGGGCCTACTGACGGAGTTAAGGCGCCCCAAGGCCATACTACCTCAAGTCCTCGAGTCCTCGCTCTCCTCCTTCTCCCCCTCCCCCTCCCCCTCCTCCTCCTCCTCCTCCTCCTTCTCCTCCTCCTCCTCCTCCTCTTCCTCCTCCTCCAGCTCTTCCTCCTCCTCCTCCTCCCTCATCCTCCTTCTCCTCCTCCCTCCGCCTCATCCTCTTCCTCCTCGTCATCTTCCGCCTCCTCCTCCTCCTCCTCCTCTTCCGCCTCCTCCTCCTCCTCCTCCTCCTCCGCCTCCTCCTCCTCCCCCTCCTCCTCCTCCTCCTGCTCCTCCTCCTCCTCCTGCTCCTCCTCCTCCTCTCCCTCCGATCCCCCTCCTCTTCGGGCGGGCCTTTGCGATGGAGATCAGCGCGGCTAGTCCGCTGCCGTTGTCCTCGGCCCCTGGCGCGGCGCCCGTGAACGGACGGGAGTCGTAGTGCGCCCCGAGAGTGATGGTTCCCTTCTCGCCCGAGGCTCCTCTGGGGGGAGCAGCAGCGGCGGCAGGGCGAAGACTACCTGGAGGAGAAGGAGGAGGAGGAGGAGGAGGAGGAGAAGGAGGAGGAGGAGGAGACGGTGATGGTTACCTTCTGGCCCGAGGCTCGATGGGAGTGCACGGGCCTCCTTCTCCTTATGAATAACTCATCCCTGTCGCACCCCCAGACGTGTCGGTAGGGCGGGCCGGGAGTTTCGCCTGAGACTTCCTCTCCATTTACGACCCTGAAGCTTGAAGTCCAGAACAGCTTCTAGAGTGGAGTGCGGGTCCTTTTCAAAATGTGGATGGCGCCTTGGCGCCGCGCACATTCGTCTCAAAAGTTCGCAAAAGCTTCAAGGATGGAGGGTGTGTGGCTTTCAAAGAGTAGGTCTCGTCTTAGCGCCTCCTACATTCGTCGTAAAAGCTTGCAACAACTCCAAAGATTCGCAATGCTGACGTCCCAGATGTTATATAATGGCAGGATTTCGAATTGTCCTGTCGTAACAGTCTCGTCGATTTGCGGTCTTAAAATCCCAGGAACAGCGTTCTGGCACGATTTAGGATTGTCAGGACGCAACCGTCGCGTTGCTTCGCGGCGTTGAAGTCCCAGGAATGGCGTTCTGGCACAACTTAAGATTCTCAGACGGTTGTCTTTCAATGGGGCACTTCCCGCAACGAAGATGAATTCTTGACCCCGTCGGCATGTGTGAAAAGGTTTTTCCGTTTGAGTCGCCGTCGAAGTCGTCGCCGCTCCCCCTTAAGCGTTCCGGTCAAAGGGAAATCGAGCAATATCGCCATCGAGTCGAAGGAAAGCCCCTTCCCTTTGATCCCTCCCCTGACGGGAGGAGGGGGGGCGGGTGGGGTCCCTGGAGGGGGGGAGAGGGGGGGGTAAGAGGGGGTTGGGGCGGGGGGGGGGCAGGATCCTCGGGGTGGTGTCCCCCCCCCCCCCCCCGGAGGGGAGCACCCCTCCCGAGGAGAAGCCTCCGGCTCCAGAGCGTCAGCGTCGTCGTCGTCAACATCGCCGTCGTCGTCATTATCGTCGTCGTCCTCCTTCACGGCGGCACAAGCCGTAAGGCCTACGCAATAGATTCTTCTTGAAGGAGCCTATGAAGAGGGAACTTCGAGGGACGGATTATTGCAACATCGTTGACGCGTCTTGGGTTTACACTGGTCCTCATATTTCTCCTCCTCCTCCTCCTCCTCCTCCTCCTCCTCCTCCTCCTCCTCCCCCACCTCCTCCTCCAATTCCTCATCTTCCGCTTCCTCCTCCTCCTCCTTCTCCTCGTCTGCCTCCTCCTCCTCCTCCCCCTCCTCCTCCTCCTCCTCCTCCCATGCCACATCCTACTCCTCCCTCTTCCACCTCTGCCTTCTCATCCGTGTCCTCCTCGTCACCATCATCAAGACACTCATCATCCGAAGCGCCAAAAGCACTCATCAACAGAGACGCCATCGGCGTCATCATCACCGCCATCATCACAACCATGAACATCAGCATCATCATCGTCATCATCATCAGCAGCAGCATCATCAGAATCAGCATCATCAGCATCGTCGTCATCATCATCATCGTCATCATCATCATCATCATCATCATCATCATCATCATCATCATCATCATCGTCATCATCACCATCATCAGCATCATCATCAGCATCGTCATCAGCAGCATCATCATCATAATCAGCATCAGCATCATCAACAACATTGTCATCATCGTCAGCGTCATCATCTTCGTCACCGTCATCATCATCATCATCAGCAGCAGCAGCATCATAGTCATCGTCATCGTTATCATCACGTCATCGTCATCGTCATCGTCAGTATCAGTATCATCATTAGCATCATCATCCTCGTCATCATCATCATCATCATCAGCATCATCATCATGATCATCAGCATCATCATCATTGTCATCAATATTATCATCATCAGCAGCAGCATCATCAGCATCAGCATGTTATTCGGCATCTTATTCAGCATCATCATCATCATCATCATCATCATCATCATCATCATCATCATCACTGTCATCATGCACATCAGCACCACAACCACCACCACCACCACCACCACAATCGTCATCACCTTCCCCTCCCCTGTTCACATTTCCCGTCTGCCCCCTTGGTTGCACAAGCAGCTCTCCAGGAATAACGCCGAGCACGTTGTTCTGCGCGAGCTGGGTGTTGGACCACACGGTGTTGGAGCCGAACTTCTGCAGACAGGTGGGAATCCCCGCGGCCTTGAACTGCTTCTGTATATCCTACAAGTCCCTCGGGAGAGACGACGGCGTGAGCACTTCACCCCCGCGAACAGAAAGATGGGATCCTCATCCTCCTCCTCCTCCTCCTCCTCCTCCTCCTCCTCCTCCTCCTCCTCCTCCTCCTTGCCAGACTCCGTCATGACGTGCAATTCCGATTCGAAGCCACCAGGCCAGTCCAAGGGAGGCCTTCAAAAGAAAAGCGGTTCCGGCTGCCCCCAGGAGGAGGAGGAGGAGGAGGAGGAAACATGTGGTCCAACCCGAGCCTCTACCCTTTCTTCTGCTCTTCCTCCTACAGACCAACCGACTCATCGTCAGGACAACCGCTGGAGCCACAGACGCATGCTCAAGCTCCACCGGACGCCAGACGAGGAAAGCACATGGGGAAGTGTTCCACGAGACTATCCACCCGTACTCCCGACGTCGCGTATCTTTCGAAACGTGGACCCTCAAATGTCTCGACCTCTTGCTCAGGACGGGCTTTTCATCCTTAGCGATTGCCCAGCAAAGGCACCCAGAGGCCGAAAATAGCCCAGTGCCCCTCGCCGCAATCCTTTCACGACGCGAGGGGGTCTGGGAACCCTCCGCCCCGGCCTCCCCCAGCTGCCATCCTTGGGGGGGACATCGCCGAAGCCCGTGAGGAGTGCAAGGCAGCCCACTCCTGCTGTAGGCCTGCAGCTTGGCACCAACACCAACACACGGGGGGGCCTCTCTCCACCAGGGGAGGTGACCTTAGATTCTGGTGCTGGTGATAACCTTTCGGCCATCCACGAGGCACGAATATGCATTAACACCATCGCCGACATCGGGATCATCCTCCCTCGGTGGAGGCAGCCGCCGATGTCGGTGCTGGTGCCAACCCCTGGGCCTCCGAAGGGCGTGGGGGCAGGCCCTGCCGACGAGCCAGGCGCAGACAGGCACGCGACCGGCGTCGCCAGCGGCGGGCGGCCCCGAGACGGGGGAGGCAGGCGCGAACGAGCATGCCGGCCCTTCCTTGCCGCCGCTCGGACGTCCATTTCCCGTGCATTGTTCGGTCTCGTGCGTGTTTTTGTTTGCTCGAGGGTCCAGGATGGTCCTCGATGGTTCTCGCCGAGAAAAAATGCACACGTCCAAGCGATACCGAGCTTCGGGAAGGACCAGGCAAGTCATCACGGGTGCAGCCTCCACCTCCGCGCGAGGTCCGCGAGCTCCGCGTCGCGTGCTGGCGAGCGAGGGAGGAGAGAGAGAGAGAGAGAGCAGAGGAGAGAGCCCCGCCTGCCTTGTGCTGAGATGAGCCCCATACTCTTCCTGGAACTGTTCCCCCTCCTCCTCCTCCTCCCCCTCCTCCTCCTCCCCCTCCTCCTCCTCCTCCTCCTCATCATCATCATCATCATCATCATCCTCTACCACTCCTGCTCCTCCTCCCTCCTCCGCCTCCTCCTCCTCCTCCTCCCCCTCCTCCTCCTCCTCCTTCTCCTCCTGCTCCTGCTCCTGCTCCTCCTCCTCCTCCTCCTCCTCAGCTGTGCACGGCGATGCGATAGCACTTCGTATACTTCTGGGCAGCATCCTGCCCCGAAGAGTCCTGATAGGAGCGGGTCACCACGCCGTCAGAGTTGCTCGAAGCGCGCCGTGGTTTTGGATTGTCAAACTAGCCACTAGCGGTCATCATGAAGCGGAGGGAGCATGTGAACCACGGGCGGTGAAAAGGAGGGGAGGGGAGGGAAGAAGCGTGAAAGGGGTGAGGAAGGAAGAAGTGGCGGCGGCGGACGATGGAATGGGCGTTCCAGCCGTTCTCTACATGCTCCAAGGGAAAACCGACGGAAGACACCCAACGAAAACCGCAAGGGAGGAAATAAATCACCTTCTGTCCACAGAACAGACGTGGAAGGGAAGAAGGGGAAGAAGGAAGGAAGAAGGGAAGAAAGGGAAGAATGGACGTGGAAGGGGGGTGGGAGGGAAGGAACGAAGGGGAAGGAGAAAATGGGGAGGAGGGAGAGGAAAGGGCGAGCAGGAGGCCTCGACGCTGCGTCCCCGCGAAGGGGCCACATAGGCGGCAAACGCAGGAGCAGCAAGGAACTGCAAACAGAACTGCTGGAGCGTGAGGGCAACTACACCGCGCCGCACGCAACAACAACAACAACAACAACAACAACAACAACAACAACAACAACAACAACAACAACCACAACCACAACCACAACCACAACCACAACCACAACCACAACCACAACAACAACAACAACAATCATTTTACCCGAACGCTTAGTGTTCTCCCCAGTGCCAGGGTTTTCATGCGACGCCAGCCAATACCCCCACTTCGTGGGGGGGCAATGCAAGCTCTACCAAACATCCACACGACTCTCGGGAACCACCCACACCCAGCTTCCCGCCCTATGACGTCAGGACACTTCACTTCGTGGCGCGCGGACGATCGTGGATACTACACTGGCGTGGAGTACACACCCGCAGAGGTTGATCACTTGTTTGGGCCCCGCATGTGCCCCGCATGGTGCATTTGTTGCGTATGACATACATAGTACAGAGAGACAGAGAGAGAGAGAGAGCAAGACAGAGAGCCAGTGGAGAGAGAGATATAAAGAGATTCGTCACATGTGTGAGGCAACCTGAGAAGATGTGGTACACGGTACACGTGAGATGGTACGCAGTGCCAAGATAGTTGGTCACATTTTTGGGGCCTCTTGGAGCCAACTTGGAGCCTCTTTGGAACCTCTTGGGGGCCTCTTGGAGTCCTCTTGGGGCCTCTTGGGACCATCTTGGGCGCCTCTTGCGGCCTCATGGGCGCCTCTTGGGGCCATCTTGAGCGCCTCTTGGGGCCATCTTGGGTTTTAAAGATTCATGAAGAGCCCGCGGGTGGATTTTGATATTTTTCGGATGAGAAAGTCTTGCGTTTGCATATGTTTTCGGAACATCGCATCTTGAAATTATTGAAATCACATTATGTTTGGCAGGATTTCGGCACGCGCGCGCGGCGGCCGCGCGCATGTGCACTTCGTGTCATTTTTTGCAAGGGATGGTGGCCCTCGTAGGCTCGCAACCGTTGTTGCAGAAGGTCGAAGCACCTGAAAAGGTTCCTCGCAAAGGCCCTTTTAACAGAAATGTTTAAAAAGTGGTGGGTTTCCTAGGAATCCGCAAGAGCGCGCGGAAGGACATTTTGACAATTTTTTCTTAAAAACCATTGGGTTTTTGATGTTTTTATGTTAAAATCGTTACGAAACCTAAGGTTTTGGAAGGATTTCGTCTTGCGCGCACGAATGTCCACTTTACCTTATTTTTTGCAAGGGATTCTTGCAATTTGATCAAGTAAGAACAAGAATTTTCATTTTATATTGTTTTTTGCAAGGGAAAACGAGCGTCAACAAAAAACCGGATCCGGAGACAATCCACTTTTCTGAAGCTTTCGCTAGAAAATGAAGGAAATGAGGCTGCGGCCTAGGTTTTGGAGGGGGGTCGCGCACCAGGGGTCTCAACAATAATATTTCTTTAGAAGTAATAATGTTCAACAACAACAACAACAACAACAACAGCAAACCGCAACAGCAACAACAACAACAACCACAACAACAACAACAACAGCAACAACAACAACAGCAACAACAACAACAACAACCACAGCAACAACAACAACCACAACAACAACAGCAACAACAACAACCACAACAACAGCAACAGCCACAACAACAGCAACAACAACAACAACAACCACAACAACAACAACAGCAACAACAACAACAGCAACAACAACAACAACAACAACCACAGCAACAACAACAACCACAACAACAGCAACAACAACAACCACAACAACAGCAACAACCACAACAACAGCAACAACAACAACAACAACAGCAACAGCAACAACCAAAAAAAAACGCGAGCAGGCTCCCGAGCGCGACGACCTCCTGGAGGGTGCTCATGAACGAGCCCGCCGTGAGCCTCGCCACCGCGGCCGCCTCCATGCCGCCGAGCCTCCCGGACGCGCTCGCGCAGGACTGCTGCGGCCTCGGCTCTCCCGCGCCACACCACGGGCCGCGCGCGGCCGCACGGGCTCCGATCTCATTACCGGCCTGGAACATGTCCCCCATCCCTGCACCCCACGAAATGCTTAAGAAATCATGGGTTCAGAAATTCACAGTCTCAGAACTTGCATAAAAACCCAACAACATGTCTATCAAAATCTTAAGCTTTGCATTGAAGCGTGAAGAAGAATCGAGACTCTGGCCGAAAACTCAAGTTTTCTTAAGCACCGCCTAAGGTGTACGCTGGGCACCTCCTCATCGCGATGCCAGTCTTGGGGATTCCCTTCTTTTTTGAGGGCGAAAATCCCTGAGACTGTCATCGCCTTCTGGCGTGTCAGTCTTAGGGATGGGGATACGCTCGAGGCCGGTAAGATCACGAGCGCGCCGCACAGCGACCCCGCCGCGGCGGCGTGAGCCCGGCGCGCCCTCCGGACGCGCCTCCGTCGACGGGCCCCGGTCGCTGCCCGCCGACCTCCCCTGGCTCCCGCGGGGATCGGGGGCGCCCAGGGCGAGGGCGTGTACGCCGGGAACATGATGTTCAGGACAGCCCCGGACCTGGAGGGCGTCCCTGCCTCCTCTGCTCCCTCCCAGTCGCCGTCCGCATCCTCTCGCGCTCCCCTGCTTCTAAAAATCCGCCACGCGCGTGGCCCCCTGGCACACGCGGGCGTGCCAGGACACGAAGGGCTGTCTGGTAGGGTTCCTGCGATCTTCTGGGCGCCCCCCGCCCCCTCCACCAGTGCTGGCCTGCGTGTATCGACCCCTCTCCCGAGGCCAGAGCCCCCTATCAAAACACAACATGCTCACGCTCCCGAGGCCGCAGCCCGTCGTAAAAAATGCGGCAGGCTCGCGCCCCCGAGGCCACGGTCCTTCGTAAAATACGCCAGATGCGCGCCCCCGAGGCCAAGGTGTCTCCATGACGGCCCAGGATGGCTCCACGACGGCCCACTTGAACCTCAAGACAGCCTGAAATGGCTCGCTTCAAGACGGCCCAAGAGGGCCTCCCGTGGGACCCAAAGCGGAGTTAGAAGGCCCTTCGGCTGCCCAAGACGGCGCCAAGATGGTCCCACGACGGCCCCCGGGCACCCCCCATACGGCCAAGAGGTCCCTGAGACGGCCCAAAGGAACCCCAAGACGGCCTAAGAGGTCCCCAGAGCGGCCCAAGAGGGCCTCCATGGGCCCCTAAGACTGCCTTACGGGAGACAAAGACAGCCACAAGACGGCCAAAACAAGTTCCATGAGGGCTCCTCAAGTAGTGACAAGGAAGGTGTCACATGTGACCGCATTCCTCTTCTTCATTACCCTCCTATTTCTTCTCCTCCTCCTCCTCCTCCTCCTCCTCCTCCTCCTTCTCCTACTCCTCATTCACATCATTATCATCATCCTCATCCTCGTCTTCATGTTTATCCTCATCATCCTCCTTCGCACCACCACCGCCATCAGCATCAGCTTCATCATCGCCATCATCATCATCATCATCATCATCATCATCATCATCATCATCATCATCATCAGAATCAGCATCATTGTCGTCATCATCTACATCATCATAATCAGCATCAGCAACATGATCAACATCATCATCAGCAGCGCCGTAATCATTATCAGCATCATCAGCATCATCAGCATCATCATCATCAGCATCATCGTCATCATCAGCATCAGCACCGTCGTCAACATCATCATCAGCAGCAGCATCCTCATCAGCAGAAGTATCAGAATCATCGTCGTCATAATTGTCATCATCCGCAGCAGCATCATCGACATCCTCACCACCATCAATAATAAAAACAACAGTAACAGCAAGATCAAGAATAAAGAAACAACAGCAACAACTGCAATCGCAACAAATATAACAACAGCAACAAAAAACAACAATACCAACATTAACACCATCAAGAACAACGACGACGACGACGACGACAATAACAACAACCACAACAACAATAACAACAACAAACCTTTTAAGACTGTTCGCCCATATCTGCTCGAGTGTCCAATAACGCGTATTCCCCAAACCCTCGATACCCGCCGACCACGACGACGACGACGACGACGACGACGACGTCGACGACGACGGCGACGGCGACGACGACGAGGGGGGGAAGTGAGAAGGGGCGGGCCTTCACAGAAGGCTATCGGAAGTCCCCTCGGCCTTCTGAAAAGCTTTCTGAGTTTGGCGGCGAGCGAGGGGGGGAAGTGAGAAGGGGCGGGCCTTCACAGAAGGCTATCGGAAGTCCCCTCGGCCTTCTGAAAAGTTGTCTGAGCCTTCCCCGAAAACAGAAAACCTCTCAGAAGGCCAAGAAGGCTTCTGAGACGCCCCGCCGCCTTCTGAGAAGGCCTCCTCCTTCTGACTTCCCCTCCTCGCTCGCTGCGTTCAACGGGGCTGCAGCCTCCTCTGCGCACAGCCCCACCACCCCCCAGAGCATCAGCCAAACAAGCTGGGTTTGCACCTTCATGCCCTGCTGGACTCTAGGCGCGGATCGGCACTGCCACTGCCGCCGCCATCACCCTCGTCAGGGCCACCGACTCGGGTGCGGCGACAGTGGCGGTGGCCGATGCGTCCAAGCCTGGCGGCGTGCAAGGCCAGACTGCGAGGAGTCCGATACCCTCTGAACCAGACGCGGGCAGCAGCAGCAGCAGCAAGCAGCAGCAGCAGGGAGGGGAGACAAGACCGACGGGGAGAGCAGGACAAGACAAGACGCGACAAGGGTGAGGAGGACACGACAAGACACGACGGGGCACGACGGGGGGCACGGCACCCTCTGCCGAAGGGGCAGGGCCGGGGCGAGCCGCGAGCGGCAGCGGAGGCGGCGGGGGGGGGGCGGGGACCTGAGCTGCACCAGGCTGCTGAACGCGGAGCGGCGGCCGCCCTTGTTGGTGATGCCCAGGGACGAGGGGCCCTGGGGCGTGGGGGGGGGGGGGGCTTCTCGCCTGGCCTGGCCCGCGCGAGGCGGGGGCCGAGTCGGGGCCCGCGCCTCGGGCGCGCGCGAGGGCGGATCTCTCGGATCCGTGGGGTCGAGCAACCCCCCCCAAGGCAGTGGATGATCGCCACCACCGCCACCCCTCATCATACCTCCTCCCCGCGTCCTCGGGGAGGTGGAAGATGTGCCACCTGCCCTCGCCGCCGACGCGCTTCTCGCGCATGCTGTCGGTGAGCGCGTCATCGGAGCCTTGGGCTGCCGAGAGGAGGCGGAACGGAGCCTTGCAGCCCGCGCAACGATACCGGAGAAGAACGAGGTGGTCATGCAGGGAGGACAAAAGACCTAACGAGGCCAGAGACAAGGAGCGATCCACGTCTGGTCGGGGCGCGTACTTGAAGGCAAGATCTCGAGCTCAAACTAGAACACCTGTTCCTGCTTGGTTTGGTTTGACCCCCTCTTAACCTAACAATGGGAGCCTGCGTGCGCCATCTCGAAAGCCCGGCGAACTGCACAAGGGGCGTGTGGCACCGCTGCGGGCCGGCTGTAATCCGACGCAATGGGTTGGGGTACCCGCTGCCCAACGTAAACAGGCTGTCCATGCACGCGCGTGTGCGGGGCGCAGCTGCAGAGGCAGGACACGCCCATCGACCACGGCCCTGCCAGCCGTAGCTGGAGGAGGGAGGAGGAGGAGGAGGAGGAGGAGGAGGAGGAGGCTGGAGGAGGAGTGTGGAGGAGGAGGCTGGAGGAGGAGTGTGGAGGAGGAGGGAGGAGGACGCGGAGGAAGGGGTGAAGGGGAGCGTTGAGAGGAGGGGGGAATAGAGCAGGGGGAGGAGCAGCAGCAGGAGGGGCAGCGAGGAGGAGAAAGACCGACGCGAATCCCTGGAGCTCTCTCGGCCCCATCCCCAAGACTGGTTGTTCGTCCCGTGCCGTCTTTTTCGATGGACCCGGGTGAACAAACAGGCCCCAGACATATGGATGGAGGAAAACACTGACGTCATATTTTTTCCGCGACGCATGGAGGTCCATGAGGGAGGAGAACGAGGAGGAGGAACAGGACGAGGAGATCAAGAGGAGGAGGATGAGGGAGGAGGAGGAGGAGGAGGAGAAGGGGGAGGTCGCAGTGGAGCCCATGGCGCAGTAGTAGTCCTCGACGCGGTCGCTCAGGCCGTTGTCCTCGGTGGGCGCCTGGGGGGGGGAAGACGCTGGCCAGCTCGGGGCCCGCTCTCTCGCGGCGGAGGATGCAGGGCGGCAGGACCGCGGAGAAGGGTGAGCGGCGGGTGAGCGGCAGAAATATAAAGACCTTGCTTGCGCGACTTTGCGCGGTGGCGTACGCGGGCCACGGCGGCAAAGCACATGGACAGGAGAGCGCTCGTGCGCGACCCTGCGTGGGGAAACCAGCGCGGCGGGCATGCCAGCGGCGTTGACCGGTTCCCACGTGGACGAGAGGCGACGAGATGGCCCCCTCGTTTTGGCACAACTCGGGCACGAAGTGCTCGGGCACGAAGAGTGAGGATGGTCCGTCTCCGAGGGCGAACGACTTCAGACGATGCGTGGGGTGCTGAGCCGTTCCAGAATGCCCAGGAAAGCTCTGAGAATGTCTGGAACAAGTCATGCAGCACCGCCTGCGGCGCCGCCCTCGCGCGGCGCCCCATCGGGCAGGCGAGACGGGTGCTCCGAGACCCGCACCGACGGAGCGCGCCGCGAGATCCCGCCTGGAAGCACCCTCGCTCGGCAGGGCAACGCGCGGCGTCTCCCCCTTAGGCGGCGCGCAGAGGAGGGCGGGGGGAGGGGGGAAGGCTTCTTGGAAGGAGGCTGCTTCTTGGAAGGCGCAGGCCTCACACCTATAGACAAGGCCTGCGCCTTCTGAGAAGCGGGGTGCTTATAAGAAGCCTTCCACCCTCCCCCTACCGTCAGGTCGGGCATGTCCTCCTACAGGCGGATTTTGGACGCAAATTCAAAATAGTCCTATTACTCGACGCGAAGACCCCAATATGTGCATCCCATAATGATGGCACGCTTCGGTAGAAGGCATTGTCCTTTTAATATCTGAGTGTCAGCGAATCCATGTGGAAGACGAAGCCGAGAGAGACGCGACGACTACGACGACTTTAGCTAGGCGTTTCCTCCTTAGTTCCTCCTCCTCCTCCCTGTCCTCCTCCTCTTCCTCCTTTTCCTCTGAACACCTGTCAGGATAATCCATACGTGAAAACGAGAATGCCAAGGAAACTTGAACAATGTATGCCAAGGAAACTCGAACAATGCAAAAGCACTGGAAAACCCAGAGCAGCGAAGCTCGAGTCAGGGGCCTCGAACATCGATCCTCTGGCCTCGGCCAACCGAGCTGCCCGTGCGGCGGCGAGAACACTCTTACTCTTTCCACATCCGTCCTCCTCTCCTCCTCCTCCTCCTCCTCCTCCTCCTCCTCCTCCTCCTCCTCCTCCTCCTCCTCCTCCTCCTCCTCCTCCTCCTCCTCCTCCTCCTCCTCCTCCTCCTCCTCCTCCTCCTATTCCTCCCTGTTCCTCCACCTTCTCCTCCTAGTCCTGCTCCTTTCTCTTCGCCATCCTTCCCCAGTTACGAGTTCCCCTTCACCACCTCCTACTCCAGCTCCACCTCCTCCACCTCCTCTCGCAATCTGAGCCCTGCGGGATGTTCGAGCCAGCGCTCCGCCTGAGAACTCCTTACGACTTGCTTTAGGCGCAGACGAGTCTGCCCACCGAAGCAGGCAAATCGGTTAAGACATTCTCGAAATCTGGGACCCTTGGAGTGCTGGCACTAGCGTCTCGCCTGGACATCCTCAGCATATGCTCAAAACGCAAACGAAACTGGCTACGAATTTATCAAACCGCGTGAGATTGCCTCGCAATCTGGGATCCTCGGGGCGCTGAAACCAGCGCCTCGAGGCAATGATGGCCCGATATCAATAGCATGGCCCCTTTGGGTTATGCAATTCCCATCCCCTCCAGGAGGACGAGGGAGGAGGGAGGAGGGAGGAGAAGAGGAATAGAGGAAGGAGGAAGGAAGAAGGAGGGATGAGGGAGGAGGGAGGAGAGGGATGAGGAAGGGGAGGAGGAGGAGGAGGAGGAGGAGGAGGAGGAGGAAGAGGAAGAAGAGGGAGAAGGAAGGAGGAGGGAGGGAGGAGGGAAGAGGGAGGAGGGAGGCGGGGATGGAGGAGAGGAGGATGAGGAGGACCTACGCCTCCTCCTCCACTTCCTCCCCCTCCCTCTCCCCATCCTCCGATCTTCTCCTCCTCCTCCTCCTCCTCCTCCTCATCCTCCTCCTCATCCTCCTCCTCCTCATCATCCTCCTCCGCCGTTCCTCCTCCGCCGTTCCTCCTCAGACTACTCCGTTCGTCCTCATCAGAACTCCGACGGCCTCCGACGGAGGTGTCCGCAAGTATCCGGACGCGAAACGATTTGCTGGGAGGAACAGACGCATGCGAACACCGCCACTGGGCCCTTAGGTGGAGCTCCCGATGGGGCCACGAAACGCTGTGCTTGGTGGGGGAGACGCATGCGGATTCCGCCACCGCCACTGAGGCCTTAGGTGGGCACCGACACAGGCAAACCGCCTGAGACATCCCCGCAATCTGGGCGCGAATCCTGGAGTGTCCTGACCCCTGAGACATCCCCGCAATCTGGGCGCGAATCCTGGAGTGTCCCTGCCACCTCCCCTTGGGAGTGATGAAATCAGCGCCTCGCCTGAGACATCCTCAGACACGGCTCCGAAAGCAAGAGATGCCGTGCAGCGAAACAGGCAAACCGCCTGAGACATCCCCGCAATCTGGGCGCGAATCCTGGAGTGTCCCGACCCCTGGCGCCCCCCCTTGGGTGTGCTGAAACCAGCGCCTCGCCTGAGACCTCCTCAACAACGGCTCCGAAAGCAAGAGATGTTGGGCACCGAAACAGGCAAATCGCCTGAGACATCCCCACAATCAGGGCGCGAATCCTGGAATGTCCTGACCCCTGCCGCCCCCCCTTGGGAGTGCTGAAACCAGCGCCTCGCCTGAGACATCCTCAGACACGGCTCCGAAAGCAAGAGAAGTTGGGCACCGAAATAGGCAAACCGCCTGAGACATCCCCGCAATCTGGGCGCGAATCCTGGAGTGTCCTGACCTCTGGCGCCCCCCCTTGGGAGTGCTGAAACCAGCGCCTCGCCCGAGACATCCTCACAACGTGTATGTGCGTGAGCGCGGAAGTGGTGCGGCTTACTCCGAGTGAGGAAGAGCGAATCAGAGTATGAGTGAGTCTTAGTGTGAGTGAGTCTGAGTGGGAGTGAGTCGGTGTGTGAAACATCTTCACAACGTGCGTTTGAGTCTGAGCACGGAAGTGGTGTGGCTGAGTCTGAGTGAGGAAGAGCGAGGCAGAGTATGAGTGAGTCTTAGTGTGAGTGAGTCTGCATATGAGTGCTCCCGAGCATGAGAAACCTGAGTATCAGGATTCCAAAAGCGAGTGCATCTGAGTATGAGTGAGTCTGAACATGAGTGAGTCTACATGTGAGTGAGTCAGAGAATGATGACCTGAGGGTGGGAGGTGTGTTCTCGTTTTCCGCGCGGTCAAAATAAAACGAAGAATCCCATCCTTAGGATATGTGGAAGAATACTCCGAAATGGCCAAAGATACTCGAAAAATCGTCCCTCTACTATTTTTGGACTACTTGTTATATTATTCCTCCTGTAATGGGACGTGCCCAGCCTAAACAATTACTCAATATGAAAATACTCTCCCTCTTCCCCTGATGGCGTCCGGGTGATGGCCGCGCACCCTCCGCGTACTGATTTTTACACACAGGATTCCCGGAAAATCCTGGGAAACGACTCTCGCTGAGGCGCCGGCGTCATTTGTTCCCAAAATGCTGCTCCCGTTGAGGCGCCGGCCTCATTTCTGCTCCCGAATCGTTCCGAATCGTGCTCCCGCTGCAGCGTGGGCCTCATTTTCGGATCGATGTTTGGCCTCCGTCGTTCAGGATGGCGTTCTCGCCCCAGCGCGGGCCTTTTTCTCGCGCGCCCTTCCGCCCGCCACCACCGCGCCGCACCGCCACCACCACCACCACCACCACCACAACCACCACCAGCACCAGCACCAGTACCAACACCACCACCACCAGCACCACACCACCACCAGCACCACACCACCACCATCACCACCACCACCACCACCACCACTACTACCACCACCACCACCACCACGACAACCACGCACACACGCACGCACGCACGCACGTGCACCACCACCCACTACGCACGCGCGCGCGGAGCCACAGGTCCGCTACGACACGCGTCCGCGGATAGAGAAAATCAGCGCCATGGTAAGGGATGGGAGGGAGGGGTAGGACGTCAGATATGACGCGAGCGCACCTAGCTTGCCCTATCCCCCCTCTGCGCGATGCCGAGGGCGTCTGAGAAGTTTCTTGTGTCTCCCGGGAAGGCACAGAAAACTTCTCTGAAGGCTGGGGGACTTCCGAGCCTTCTGAGAAGGCCCGCCCCTTCTCACTTCTCCCCCTCCTGCCCAACAGAGGCTCCATAGTGGGGGCCCGACCACAAAAAAACTCCCACAAGAAACCCAACCCTGAGACCCCAGGACGTCCATTCATTTTTTGGTGTGGGAACGTCACTGCTTCCATCGCAAAAAACATCGACATCCAAGAAACCCAGGGCAGCCTGGAGGCAAGCAGGGTGCTGCTTGGCATGGAACCCCACTGAACGAGCGGGGCGTGCTCATTGCCCCAGAGGCGCGCCTCAGCCCAAGCGGAGGCCCACCCGGGACAGACGGCAACACTCCAGGACGGCAACACTCCCCCGCCTCCCCCTCCTCCTCCTCCTCCTCCTCCTCCTCCTCCTCCTCCTCCTCCTCCTCCTCCTCCTCCTACTCCTCCTCCTCCTCCTCCTCCTCCTCCTCCTCCTCCTCCTCCTCCTCCTCCTCCTCCTCCTCCTCCTCCTCCTGAGGAGGGGGGCGGAGCAGGGCGGGGAGGGAATAGGGAGCTTTTTGCTACCTCCGCTTCCTTGGGAGTCTGACTTTTACAGGCATCGTGCTGCCAGCAGGAGCGGCGGCTCGGGAACGAGGGAACTTTCCTGGCCACGGCGAGCTTCGGCCACGAGTAGGCTCTCCCCGACCTGGATCTGCGGAGCGGCCCCAAAAACTAGAGGCCCTCCCGAGCCCGAGGTGATCCTTGCTCGACTGCACTGCCCAGGGGACCTGGGCGAAGAGAGCCAGCAGCCGACCAGGGAAACCCATGCCTGCCCCGCCAGTGCCCGCCCAACCCCCCCCCCCCACCCCCAGGGCCTGGGCCCAGGAGCTCCAAGCTTCGGAGCGAGCGTCGGAGCGAAGCAGGGAGGGAAGGGGGGAAAGGAACGCGGGAAAGATGGAGGGGGTGAGGGCTTCCTCCTCCTCCTCCTCCTCCTCCTCCTCCTCCTCCTCCTCCTCCTCCTCCTCCTCCCCCCTCCTCCTCCTCCTCCTCCTCCTCCTCCTCCTCCTCCTCCTCCTTCTCCTCCCCCTCCTCCTCCTCCTCCTCCTCCTTCCTCCTCCTCCTCCTCCTCCTCCTCCTCCTCCTCCTCCTCCCCCTCCTTCATCCTCCTTCCTCCTCCCCCTCCGCCTCCTCCTCCTCCTCCTCCTCCTTCTCCTGACGAGGGGCGGGGAGGTCACCTCTCGAGGCCCGCGCGCGGCGAGGTGGGGCAGAGGGCGCGAGCACCGTGTACACGTGGCGCCCCACTTGGGTCCACCACTTGGCGCCCATCATGTTCGCGGCATCCTCTGGGGCCAGGGACGCGTTCGCCAAAAGAGGCAAGAAAACAGAGCACGAGCCCGAAAACAGAAGCGACCAAGCAAAACTGGGACGGAGGAGGAAGGTGCTGCAACGGCGAAGACACGAAAAAACAGAGAACCCATCAAAGAAAAAAGAGAGGATTGTCAAAAACATGAGAGACATGTAAGGACGAGGTGAAAGAGATGGGAAGGATTTAGCCCCATTATGCCGGGAACAGTTGCGCCGCCCCTGCTAACATACTGGACTCACACAGCGAGCGAGTGGAGTGCTTCTCATCAGTCCTGCTCCTCCTACTTGCTGTGCGTAACTTCCTCTGCTGCATCCATCAATGGAAATGCAGCTCACACGGCAGCTTGAACGACTCCAAAGTTAGACAAACGGATCCATGTGAAAGATGCTTCTGTGCCCTGCCATCAGACACTGCACAGCGCACATGACAAGCAGGGCACATGGACAACGCAAAGCACAAGGGGCGCACAGGAGAACTTGCGGAGATACCCACAGGGCACGTGGAGCACACTGGGCGCACGCGTGGCACCGACGGGGAGCGTGCTCGTCCACAAAAGCTGTTGCAGAGGACCCCACAGCGCTCGTCGCCCAGGGCTTCTTGGCACAGCGCTGCAGTGCAAAAAGGCGGGGGCGAACCCCCTTCGGTCCCAACTCATGGGAGCCTCCCATACCGTCTTGCCGGCTCTTGCGAATCGATGCTAGTCGACGCTAACTCGACGCTAATCGACGCTAAATCGACGCTAATCGACGCTAACCGACGCTAAATCGGCGCTGTCTCATCCAATCGGCGCAAATCGACGCTGATCGACGCTAGCCGACGCTGCAGACAGAATTACGAGGATACACAAGGCTCATTTTTTTTCCAGACCGAGTCCAGTAGTGGACTGGGCCTCGTGCTCGATCGGGGATTGTGTGATTGTGTGTGATGGCGACAATGACTACCTACCAGACCACCCCAACCCAACGCGAAGACCCGAATTTCGGGTTGGGGGAGTAAGGGTTCCAGACGTGTTTGTGTCGATGCTTCCGGACACCCCCCCCCCACTGGAAATCGATGGTAAATCTGAGCCTTCGGGTTGGGTTGGGGTGGTCTGGTGGGTGGTGGCGACGAGGCTCACATGATGTGCCGCCGAGGAGCCCCCCCTCGTTCGCCCCCCCCCCGCCTGCAGCACGGGGGGGACTCCCGCTGCCGCCGACGCCCCCCCCCCCTCTCCCCGCCGGCAGCTCTTCCTGGGCGGCCTCCTTGGTGGCGGCGCGGAAGGACGGGAGCTCGCCCAGGCCGCGGCCTCGGCCAGCGCGCGCGCGCGCGCCGTCAGGAAAGACTAAGTCCAGACGGGGTAAGACCATCAGGAAGACCAAGCCTCGGCCAGCGCGCGCGAACCAGACGGGGTAAGCCCATGCGGAGACCGAGCACTACGCATGGACCTGCCCCGCATGGACTCGGCCTCCTGTCCGGAGAGGCCGATGTCCCCACGGCGCCGGACCTGCCCCGCATGGGCCCACAGGCTCCCATCCGGAGGGGCCGAGTCCAGACGGAGAGTCCGTGCGGAGGCCGAGCACGGCGCATCACTGAGCGCCACGCGCGCGCGCGCCCGCGCGCGCGAGGCGCTCAGCGGAGGCGGGCTCCGCATGCACTCGGCCTCCGCTGGGCGCCCGCGCGCAGCGCCCGCGGGGCGCAGCGCCCGCGCGGCGCAGCGCCCGCGCGCGCCGCGCCCGGCGTGCCCGCGCCCCGTTGCTGCCGAGGGGCGCGGGGCCGCCCTCCGCTGCGGGCGCGGGCGGGGGGGCGCCTGCCGCCCGGCGGGCGGCTCGGGGGGGGGGGGGGGGGCGCGCGGCGGCGCCGCGCAGTAGCGCGCGGGGCGGGCGGCCATCGGGCGGGGGAGCGGCCCCGGAAGCTGAGGCACCCCGAGACGGGTTCCCCGTCGAGGTGGGGGGGGAGCTCGCCGCGGCCGGAGGGTGGCCGCCCCGCCTCGGGGCCCTGCAGGTCGAGCCCATAAGCCAGAGGGCCACAGAAAGCCGGAGGCGGCCGAGGCGGAGGACCTCGACGAGGCCAGCCTCGCCCCCCGGGCCGCCTCGCCCCTCGCATGCGGGAGCTGTGGGGCCTGGGAGATGGGCGACACACCGCCGATAGATCAGCGACGGGCCCCCGACGGGCCCCGAGACTGGTTCCCCGTCGAATCTGCGAGAAACAACACTCCCGATCTTCGCAGACCTGCGACGATTCTGCGCCGACCTCGTCTGCAGGGTCGACGAGGAGTCAATGCTGGGGTAAGCCGCTTCCGTGGCCCGTCCTCTACTCGAAAGCCAGCTGCCGCGGGCGGGTCACGCGAGGTCAGGCGCGGGTGGGTCGGGGTAGGGGGGGTGTGGGGCGCGCTCGGGCGCCTCCTGGCCCTGCTCCGCCCGATCCTCGTCTTCGTCGCCCACCTCGCCATGCTCCTCTCCCCCCTCCTCTCCCCCCTCCCCTCCTCCTCCTCCTCCTCCTCCTCCTTCCTCCCCTCCTTCCTGCCTCCTTCCTCCCTCCTCCTCCTCGTT